TGATTTTGCGATATTTGTTTATTTCAATGTTATTTTCTTCTATATTTGTAGTAACCTTTTTTTCTGCGAGAATTAGTAGTTCGTTTCTTCGTTTTTACGTTTCTAGTATTTTCAAATATTTCAACTAATTCTGGATACATTTTAAAACCAAGTCTTGTGGCTCAATAGTTGTTAGTAAATGCCTTCTATATCATTATCATTTAGCTCTATTTGTTCTTTGTACTCTTTCAACATTTCTATTACACTATGTTCTTTCTTCCAAATAATTTCATAACTGGCTATAGATCTGATATTACGTATCTTTTTTATTTGATCAGGAATAAATAAATTTGACATAGACAAACGTTCAGCAGGTGTAAAATCTGACAGATGTAAAAGTTGCCATCTAGTAGTTAATGTGAATATTTTTTCAAATGCATATTGTGGTTCCCAACATAAATGTTTCTCCATAAAATCCTAATACAAAAAAGATTATATATATTTAATAGTATATTTAATAAAAAGACTATTTTATAATGTATATGTAACAATATATTTACAATAAATTGATAGACTTGGGGTTGCTTCCAACCTATATCCAATTTAGATGAAATCAGATCTTTTTTGTTAAGAAATTCTTCTATTAACTCTTGATTAGGGAAATTTTTATCATGGAGTATTTTTCTTCTCAATGATATTTCATTTAACATTAGTGCTCTCTTTTCTCTGCATATATTATAAAGCATAATATATTAAATTATTAAATACAATATACATTTCAAAAACACATAATGCACTAATAATTTACCTGAAATTATCATTACATTTTTCAACAGTACCACAATCATCACAACCTGATTTGTTATGTTTTTGTAGTTTACCTTGATGACCACATGATGTACATAAATTAGGATTTAATAAATCTGATTCAATTCTATCTAAACTTGTGTCAGTTTTCCAATTTTGAATCCTGAAAAGAGAGGAAAAAATGGTTTAGTTATAATAAATAAATTTTATAAGTTTGATTAGTACATAATCTTTTAATATATCTAATATTCTAACCTTTGTAAAACATTTTCATCATCTACAGTCTTGAAAAATTTTAACGCAGCCTCCTTTCCAACACCATTCACTCCTTCGCTATAATCACAACCACACAATAAAGCCAATACTATCATTTTATTTCGTCCTATGTTTAATGTCTTTTCTATCTTTTCCATATTGTAGACATCTATAGAACCTGCAGTAGCTCCATTGTTTCCTTTACTTGTACAAAAATTTCTATATACTATTTTTGCACCATATAAGAAGCAATCACTGTCTTGACTTACACATCCATCTACAAGCTAAAAACATATATTTTTTACAACTAAGATTATCAGTAATTTGTCAATTTTTATCAAAGAAAATCAAGTTATATGTACCCCATTCTCATTCAAATATGCACACATAGCTTCTGCTTCACCATAGCTCTGTACACAAGCAATACCCATAAATTTTAGCATTTCTTTACATTCATTTAAAACTCGATTAAACTGTGTTCTCCCTCCTTTTTTAGCAGCCTCCTTCCTTTCCTGAAATCCACTACGAACATCATTCCTTCGTGCAATAGTTTTATGTTTTAGAGTAGGAGCCTTTCCTTCCAATACAAATACTGGAGATATTCCTTGCATAAGAAGAAATGCTGTACGAAAGTATAGATTCCTGCAATGCAATTTAAATCAATAATTAACATAAATAATCAATTATTAACTGTAACATAATTCGGCGAAGAAAGTATGCTATATATTAATTAATATCGTGCGTTCCATTTCGAGCTAGAAAATGTAATACGAATAAATTTACCTGAGATACATCTTTGGTTGTACTGCATTGTCAACGATCGTCTGACTATCAACGACCCATCCACTTAAATCAATTGCAATAGTCTTTCCCTGTAATTCATATAACGGTTTTCTTTCGCATAAAGGCGATAAAATATTCCATAAATCCTTCACACCCATCTTGTATAGAGTATTTTGAATCTGTGAACGTGTTTTTTTTTTTTTTTTTTTTTTTTATTGAGCAAAAGGCAAGCTTTGGCGGAACGCCATACAGCTAAATACATGTAAGATATATCGTCTGTTGGTAAAGATTTTCCCTAGATAAGTATATTGGAGTCGTAAGTTAGATTATTTGAGTATTAACGTAACTTATATAATTAAAACTAAAAAAAAATATATATATTCTTTTAACAGTCATAATATCAAAATCATAATCCTAATCATTAGTGAACGTATGTTTTCAAAAGGATTTACAACATCGCCATCTAACATCTTATCAATATAGCTAATACAATGACAAATTACATTTTTACCTGCAATAGATAAAAGTGATTACATTTATCGATCTGAGGCAGTCAAGAGTGAATGAGAGAATAAATAGACAATGAGTTCATTTTAAGTAATTAACATGTATATTATGTATATAAAGAGAATTAAATATGTAAAAAGTAAAAAACATGCGATTCTGAAAATTATCAAAACTGTTTTGTGACTTATTGTTAGTATAAAATGACTTAGGCCCGATTGCAACGTTATTCTAGCTTTAAGCGAGACTTAAATATATATCTATCTTTATCTTTCTTTCTAAATAAATAAAGATAGACATATATTTAAGTTTCGCTTAAAGCTGAAATAAAGTTGGTGCAACCGGGCTTTAGTATAATTGAAGTTAAAATAAAAAATATGTGTGTGCGTGTGCGTGTGCGTGTGCGTGTGCGTGTGCGTGTGCGTGTGCGTGTGCGTGTGCGTGTGCGTGCGTGCGTGCGTGTGTGTGTGTGTGTGTGTGTGTGTGTGTGTGTGTGTGTGTGTGTGTGTGTGTGTGTGTGTATTACAGGGTGAGTTTTATTTCGCGTCTCAATCTTTTTATCATGTGGGAGATTATCGACTGCATAATAAATTGATCGGTACATAAATGTCAATTATTTGGATCGACTATATCAAAAGCTAGAATATAATGTGTAAAATTAAAGCAATTTAAAAGCTAAACTTATATAGAAGGGTGTTCAAAAACATCATCGCTGCATAATAAAAAAGGGTGAGGGCCCAAGCGATTGTTCGGCGGTCCTGGCAGCCGACAGCGCGATATCGCTTTGTCAGTGCAATTTAAAAACAGCGCTCGTCCTTCTCGAAAGATCCGAGGAAAATAAATAACGCTCAATTTGAACGTTGAATAAGTAACTGCCGAGCTCTAGAAAAATCGGGATCTTTCGAGAAGAGCTCCACTATAAATTGACATGCCCGCGGGACACCGCGCCCTTTGCTAAAAAGTCTTCAAAGCGCTCGTTTAAACTTCGATTATCGAAAAACGTCTTTCCGTCGCTCGCGGATTAAATTAATCGTCTCCGTTGCTCGCGGATTTCGAAATTCTGCTCGAATTTCCCGATTGGTTTCGCGTAATTGAAATTAAGATTGTGTAATTGATATTTATATTTTTGATTATAATAAATGACAATAATAGCAAATATACACATAGACTTATCGTCGACTTTCCTTTACTTGTGGACTCTCATCCTCCCGCGTCGCGCTCGCATCCCGCGAAATAATCTCGCGAAATCTCTAATATAGGGATTTATTATTATTATTATTATTATTATTATTATTATTATTATTATTATTATTATTATTATTATTATTATTATAGCTACGTATTTATTATTATTATTATTATTATTGTACACATTATATTCGAACCTTCGATACGGTTGATTAAAAAAATTGACATTTATGCACCGATCAATTAATTATACAGTCGATAATCTCCCGCATGATAAAAAGATTGACACACGAAATAAAACTCACCTTGTATATATAAAGCAACTAGAGTTCATGTATATTTCAATCTATTATTTATGCACATTATCTATATTTTTATTGTAAAATAATAAAAAGATTAGAATCAGTAAATTATAATGATGAAATAATAAACACTTTTTAAATTTGCGAAAATAATTTCCATATTTATATATAAAAAAATTATCTTTTAATTTTTTAATTATTTTTTATCCAATAAAATACTACTTCTCTCTCTACATAATCATATTAAGTCTCATTTAAAGCATACATATATGTATATATATATATATATATATGTATATATATATATATATATATATATATATATATTCTTTCTACAGTTAAATTTTTGAAGTATAATCTTGGGATTTAAAAATTAAATATTATACAGATATATATTTACTTTAATTTTATTATAGTAATATTTAATATTATAGTGTTTAATATTATAGTAATATTTAATATAGTGTATTTAATATTATAGTTTAATATTACACTAGTAAACTTGAAAATTTTGAAATGTATAAATTAATTTTAATAATTTATTACATTTTTTCGCTGAGAATACAAATAAACATTGATAAACAAAGATGATTTATGAAATAATTCGACAAATACATGTACATTTAGGACATGTACAATCATTTACAAACGAATATTGTATATTTAATATAGATTAATATGATAACATGTCTATGCATATTTTTAAAATTTTTTTAATATTGCTAATTTTCAATATAACTGAATATGCTTCACAGTGGCACGTAGTTAATATGATAATACGTTTTCCAACTCATATATACCAAATAATACGCCATTTCATGTACGCTACCTCGATTACAATATAACAGGATTCCTATCTGCTGATGCAGTGAATGTAAGTTACTAAACAAACATTCCAATTCAATTATAACTAAATTTCATTTAATTATAAGTAAAATGATAATTTAAATATTTTTCTCGCAATCGTGTTTTTTTTTGCGCGGCAATGACGATGTATTATTACAATACCATATTTATCGTAGGTTGCCAACCTCAATGTAAAGATGCAAACATTTGTAGAAGCGATAAACGTATTAGACGTAAATATATTTAATTTTTATGTAAATATACTTGACCGAAGATTTGATGGTCTCATGGGCCTGAGTTATTCCAATATATTTGTCGGTGGAATAACGCCTGTCTTCAACAACATGATTCAGCAGGGACTAGTGTCATCACGCATTTTCAGTTTTTATCTAAATAGGTACGTATCTCCTTTAGCTATAAACATCGTATACCTACCTAAAAGAGATTTTTTAAATATTAAAATAATATTTATATTTGCACATTAAATAAACTTAATTTTAATTATCACACATATATATACGATATGAAAAATATATTTTCCAGAAACGCTTCAGCCGATTTCGGTGGTAAATTGGTACTCGGTGGTTCCGAGCCTGCTTATTACGAAGGAGGTTTTACATATGTTCCTGTTACTCGCAGAGGATACTGGCAATTTACCATTAATAAGTGCGTTATTTATTAAAATACATTAATCATGCTTCAACAAATTATTAACGTCATCGTTTTGTAGTATCCAACTAAATAATTTTACTTGGTGCGAGAAAAGCTGCCAGGTTATTATTGACATAAGTACGTGGAAAATAATTGGACCAGAAAACGATGTTTCACTTATTAATCGACTTATTGAAACTAATTCACAGGGAAGTGTAAGTAAACGATATCTTTCAAGTAATTGTATCTTTTACAAAGCACGTAATCTTTGATAAAAAAAATAAATTATAAAATTTTGATAATAGCGATAAAAAAATAAATTTTAGGTATGTTTAAATGAATTATTAATTTCTATGGAACAAAAACGTTAATTCTTGTTTTCGAAATATTTAATATATTCATTAAATATGATTAATTGCTAACCTGATGTTATCTTTTATTTAAAGGTGAATTGCAATAGAATTTTTCATTTGCCTACAATCACATTTAATTTGGGTGGTAAGGCGTTCGATCTTACCGATAGAGATTATATCATTCGGGTGAGTGCTTCATGAAAATTATTTAAATAATTTAAATATGTATAAGTGAAGTTTATATTGTGTATTTAATACTGTTCAGCATCCAAATGATAAAAGTATATGTATAACCGTCTTCTGGAAACATGACTCAACATATAAAGATGTAGAATGGATTCTGGGGGTGCCATTTATGGGCCGTTATTACACCGAATTTAATATGGAGAAAGACCGATTGGGATTTGCTTTGGCGAAAAAAATATAGAAAATTTCATCAAAATGTATAGAAAATCTTTCATTGTCACCTTTTATTATATACTTTCTCATTACTTTTTAAATTATTTGTTTAGTTTTTAGTAAGAAAGAAATGTAATCTCTTTTAATTGCCCACTGACAAAGTTTCCATATCAATGTGAGTTTTTGCGTAATATGTATATAATTGTGCCTTAATCTTTAACAGTAATATCTTATCGTGAAAGTAACTGATAGGAGCTTATTGCTAATTAGAATGCGAATTTTTGCGAGCAGTGTCATTTACTAAGTTTATTGTTGCATGGCCGTCTAGTCGATATAATCAACCTATTCTTTCAAAATGCTGATTTCTTCATTATTATTCTTAATCACACATTTAATAATTTATTTGAATACAATTTGGTTTAATTATAATATAATATGTTATATAAAATATTTTTAAATTTGATTGATCGATAGGACGGATATGTTTCGAATGCGCGCGATTGTACATATAACAGTCGCCAAATGTCGATAGTTCTAGTAATCGAGTACAATTTCTTTTTTTATACGTCATAACGTACAGAAAGAAATTTACTGGAAATTTCGAAAACATGTTCCGCTTTCTCATGATGACTTCTCATGATGACTGTGATGCTGATCGACGCAGAAATCCAAAACTAAGTTTACACATTTTATTGTATGTTTACGATACATATCAGTATAATAAATATTGAATTTATAAATATTGATCTATCTCATGATCTATCTCGTGATCGCATTCGATTTTCTGAGATCCTAAACTTATGTAAATATGATTGCATACTTCGAACGATAAATCTTAAATAGAAAGTTAATCGTGCAGTGCAATTAAAGTTTTCGATTTTATAATAATATTACAAAAATCATATTTTGTTGCTCGATTTAATAAGAATTGGATGTAAAAGGTTACACTGAATCTAGTAAAATTAATCTTGAAGCTCTCTCGCAAATGTAGCATTGTTGCGGATAGAGAATTTCAAAAGGTTTCCCGTTTCACTTTCTGCATCTTTGTACGTGAACAAAAATTAATATGCTTTTGTTCGGTGAGAAAACATCTCTTGTTATCGTTTTAAGACAATCCTGCTTTAATATAAAATATTTCCAAACCGCATTAGATTATCGATTTGTCGGCTGGATTTTATCTGTATTATGTGTTCTTAAATGCATAATTGCGATTTTGATGCTATAAGACATAACAAGCGCGTTTTTCTGATTTACTGTATCATATTAGTCGTTAGAAATTGCGGCGGTAATGTATTTTTTTTTATGCAATTAAAAGAAAATATCTCGGTCTTTATCTCAAATACTTGCGTAGATCAGGAATACAGGAATTGATTGCGTTTAGAGATTGGAAAAATTCGATATTTGTTTTGTTCACTTGCTTATGCATATGCTTATGAATGATTCGAGAAAATTTATACGAGATCAGAATTGTAGGTCAATTACTTAGAACGTAACTAACCATCGTCGTACGTTCTAGGTTTGATTTTTGCGTATCGTTATGTACGAAGGAGTGCAATAGATCTTACTTAATTTAAATGGCCCTAATGGATTCAATGACTTCTCTATATTTCTGGAGTCTAAAGAGACGATTTTTAACTGAACAGTTTTGTATATACATTGTAACAAATAACCACTATCCACTAGATCTGGTTATGCTGCATTGTTGCTGATTTCTATTTCAGTCAGACCTGAAATAATTTGATTACAAATTGATTATAAATATTACATTGTTATTATTATTTATGAATGTTAAATACAATATATGTTTATATATCTATGCTATATACGTTTGAATTATATCAATATTATCAAATTTTTTTAATCTGGACTAATTTAGTGCAAAGAACTAATAATAAATATACAATGAAAAAATGACACATTTTTATTGTATAATGTGTTTATCTTGTTATATGTTATTTTATTATATGTTGATTTTTATAAGGCAATTGAAATTATTATCTTAATATAATGCTTTCCATTATTGAAAGTTATCTTATTTCGATAAATTAATCGCACATTTTTAATAAAAAAATATTTCCTTAGAGATACATTATTTCTTTTAAAATTTCATATGATTGCATTTTTCCAAATTTGTATGATATATGACGAAAGATATGTATAATAGAAATATATGTACTAAAAGAAAGACATGTATAGTATAAGATTTTAAGTTTTGTATAGTATCTCGAGCGAAAATATTAATATTAATATTTTCCTAAGTTTAACATAGCAAATGGTTCATAGCAAAATTTCTGAAAATAATAAGTATTCAAATATATATTTCAAGATTATGTATGTTCTCGTCTCTTTACAAACCTCAAGAATTTATCAAATAAGTTATATTATTATATATATAAATATAGTTTTTTCGCACAAAATTATATAAAAAATGTTGACCAATTAAAGATTACGTTTTTCAAATAATCTATTGTAAAGTTAGTGTTGCATGATTGTCTGTTTAGTCGATATAAATGTATTCTTTCGAAAGAATTGTTTTTATTATTAATCATAAATTTATATAAATAAATGTTCTTCATTAAGAAGTAAAATAGAAGCAAAATATGATATATTTAAACTAAATTGATCGACGGAAACATGTCAGGGTTTTTGATGTTTCGCGCGTTCTCTACCTGTTCAAATATTCAACAGAGGGACACGCGCGATTATATATATTTAACGCTCTCAAATACCAAACAGTGCTAAGGGAGAGTTGGTAAGCGACAACACTTCTTTTTCTGTGTATCTGGCCATAAAGTGTCGAAAGAAAGTCGTTGTTAAAATTTTCACGAATCGAGATTTCAGCAGTAAATAAATTCTGAAATATGTTTCGCCTTCTTGTAATAATGACGGTGCTTTTTATGACGACTGACGCGCGATGCAGGTATATATTTTATTATATTGTATATTAGAATGAGAAATATCGAAATTATAAAGCTCGACATTTTTCTCGCATCCGATTCCTTGGATTAAACGTATGCAAATACAATTAATGCTTTAATACGAATTGGAAATTTCTTTGATCAAAACATATATTTTTATTTATTCGTCAACGAGTAAATAATAATACATTTTTGAAAAAGTGACTCATTGTTTTTTCGTAACGTTCGCTTTTGTCCATCTTTATCTCTATTTAAACGAGAACCGTTAACATAAATCGTGATTGGAGGTCATCAAAACGTCTAATTGTAAACTACTTTTTCACGCGATAGCAGATCAACTATAGGTATAATGTGTTATTTTGTATTATTTGTCTAATTGACATTCTCTGTATCCTATTTTTAACAGTTAATACAGTTTCTGCAAAATTATATTATTAATTAAACATCAATGTCCATTTTGTTATGTCTAATTATTATTATACTTATATTTAATGCTGGATTATACAAATTAAATATTACCTTTGGGATATATATGAGTTCATACAATTTAGAAAAATCAATGAGTAATAAACATTTCTGATATATTTATATTTAAATGCGTAACGTACTTGTATTGTAAATATGTAAGTTATATGGTTGACTTCTGAGGCGTTTAAATTTATATGTACTTTCATGACTTATATTTGTTCTGAAAATATTTGTTAGTCATATCAAATGTGAATATTCATTGTACACACATATATTTGCAAGTGTATATATATATATATATATATATATATATATATATCCTAAATATACATATTACAGAATGTTGTTATGTTATTTCAAGGGACGAGACGAATTTCGCGGATAGTTTTCCTTCATTATTTTTGACTAATTTCCGAAACGTGAAATACTATGGCACTCTTTTGATTGGAATTCCACAGCAAATATTTAAAGTTGTATTTGACACCAGTTCTGCAAATCTTTGGGTATTTAACACAAATTGCTCACTCCCTATTTGTTGTAAGTAATTTGTTTATATATATATATATATATATATATATATACATATATATATATATATATATATACAAGGTGTTTTGTCAACATACAGCTCAATACAACGGGTTGCCTGCTCATAAGAACGCAAGACCTGTTATGCAACAATAGTAATACAGATTACACGAGCACATTTTTGACGAAGCATACTAGCTGTTACGCTATCAACGCATAATAAGCTGTAGAAGAAAAAATTAAATTGCACAGAATAGTGAACTTATGACATGAATATTTGAAAGTATATATCTAAAAGAATGTTATAATATTATAATATTATTATTATTATTATATAACATTTAATATTATGTATCAATAATCCTCATCTACATGTATAATTGCAATAATATTACAATATTATAATATTATTATTATAATATTATAATATTATTGCAATTATATATATATGAGGATTATTAATATAATGTTAAGAGTTATATTAAGTTTAAGTTTTTTTTTATTATTTTTCTTGCGCTCCTATGAGCAGGCAACCTCGTATTGAGCTGTATGTTGATGAAACACCCTGTATATATAGGTTTTTTCATTTATTAAATGAATTTTATTTAATCAGTTAGGAAATGTATAAATTAATTAAAATAATTTATTATCTTCACTCTCTGAAGATGCAAACAAGCATTGATAAACAAAAATGATTTATAAATTAATTCGACAAATACATTTACGTGTACAACATATACAATTATATACAAAAGAATATTGTGTATTTAGACTAATAAAGACAATATCTCTATATATATTTTTAAAATCTTTCTAATATTACTAATTCTCGATATTACTGAATATGTTTCACAGTGGCACGTTGTCGATATAATAGTATGAAATCCTACACATATATATCAAATCGTACTAAGATTAGAATAGGATACTTTGATTACAAAATATATGGATTCCTATCTACTGATATAGTGGATGTAAGTTATTATTAAACAAACAATCGAATTTAATTAGAAAAAAGAGATCATACGAGTAGTTTAAATATTTTTAAAGTAATTATGTTCTTTTTTTTGCGCGGCAATAACGATGTAGTATTATTTTAATATCAACTTTATCATAGGTTGCCAACCTCCATATAAAGAATCAAACATTTGCAGAAGTGGCATACGTATCAGACGTAAATAATTTTAATTTATATGTAAATATATTTGACCGAAAATTTGATGGTATCTTGGGCCTTAGTTATTCCAATATATCTGTCGGTGGAATAACGTCTGTCTTCGACAACATGATTGAACAAGAGCTAGTGTCATCACGCATTTTCAGTTTTTATATACATAGGTTCGTATCTTCTTTACCTATAAATAACATATATCTCTCTCTAAACGAAAACTTTTAATATAATGAATGAAATTTTTAATATAATTTTTAATATATATGAATTTTATATATATAAGTACATAGAGCTCTATTTGTATATGTTTATATTTATTTTAATATTAACATAAATTAAATTTATTATTCATATAGTATTATAATTTTTTAAATTATAGTAATATTTATATTTGTACATTTAATATAACTAAATCTTAATTATCACATGCATATGTATTGGGATATAAGAAATATAATTTGCAGAAACACTTCAGTCAAATTCGGTGGTAAATTGACATTCGGTGGTTCCGATCCTGCTTATTACGTAGGAGGTTTTACATATGTTCCAGTTACTAAGAAGGGATACTGGCAATTTACCCTAGAGAGGTACGGTATTTTTTAAATTACATTAATCAATTGTTTCAACAAATTGTTTACGTCATTGCTTTGTAGTATCTACATAAAGGATTTGATTTTGTGCGAGAAAAGCTGCCAAGCTATCATTGGTTCAAGTACTTGGCAAATAATGGGACCAGAAAAGGATATTTTACATATTAATGAACTTATTGGAATTAATACACAGGGAAGAGTAAGTAACTGATATCTTTCAAGTAATCATATTTTTCACAAAGCACGCAGCCTTTGATGAAAAAAATTATAAAAAATTGATAATAGCAATACAAAAATATAAATATTAGGTACATTCGAATTAAAACATAAACTTGTAGGAACAATGACATTAATTCTTGTTTCCGAAATATTTAATATATTCATTAAATATGATTAATTACTAACCTGATATAATCTTTTATTTAAAGGTGGACTGCAATAGAATTTTCGGATTGCCTACAATCAGTTTTAATTTGGGTGGTAGGACGTTCAATCTTACTGCTAAAGATTACATCATTCGAGTGAGTGTTATAAGAAAATTATTTAAATTATTTAAATATGTATAAGAGAAGTTTATATCGTGTATTTAATTCTGCTCAGTATCCATATGATGAAAGTATATGTATAACCGTCTTCTGGAAATACAACCCATTATATGATATCGATGAAGTAAAATGGGTTCTGGGCACGCCATTTATGGGCCGTTACTACACCGAGTTTGATATGGAGAAAGACCGATTGGGATTTGCTTTGGCCGAAAAAAATTTCATAAAATAGAAAATTTCATCAAAATGTATAGAAAATCTTTTCTATACATAAGAAGAAGATAGAAAATTTCATAGAAAATTTCATCAAAATGTATAGAAAATCTTTTATTGTCATCTTTTGTTGTATACATTATCATCATTTTTTAAATTATTTATTTAGTTTTCGGTAAGAAAAAAACTTAATCTCTTTTAGTCGCCAACTGACGAAGTTCCCATATCACTATGAATTTTTGCGTAGTATGTACATAATGGTGTTTTAATTTTCAACCGCAATACTTTACCGTAAATGCAGCTGATTGCTAATTAGAATGCGAATTTTTACGAGTTATATCATTCGTTAAAATCATTCTTGCATGGCCGTCTAATCGATATAATCAATCTATTCTTTCGAAAAGCTGATTTTTCCTTCATTATCAATCTTCATTACGTGCGTATTTAATAATTTATTTTAATAAAATTTGTTTCAATTATAAAACAAAATGTCAAATAAAATATTTTTAAATTTGATTGATCGATAGGACGGATGATCGATAACACGGATATGTTTCGAATGCGCGCGATGATATATATAACAGCCGCCAAATGTCGGTAAATGATAACTTTAGCAATCGAGTACAATTTCTGTTTTGTATGTCGCAACGTATAGAAAGAAATTTGCCAGAAATTTCGAAAACATATTCCGCTGTCTCGTTGTTGTTATGATTCTGAACGACGCGGAAATCCAAAGCTATGTTTATATTGTATTGTATGTGTACATTACATATTGGTATAATAAATATTGAATTTATAAAAATTGACCAATCTCGTCGTGACCACATTCGATTTTCTGGGATCCCAAACTTATGTAAATATGATTGCATACATAGAACGATAAATCCTAAATAGAAATTTATTCGTGCAGTGCAATTAAAGTTTTCGATTTTATAAGAATGTTATAAAAATCATTTTCTGTTTGCTTGATTTAATAAAAATTGGAGGTAAAAGGTTACCATTGGATCTAATAAAATTAATCTTGAAGCTCTCTCGTAAATGTAACATTTTTGCGGACCCAGAATTTCAAAGGTTTTCATTCCCTACATCTTCGTGAACAAAAATTAATTTGCTACCGCTCACAATCAGTGAGAGAACAGCTCGTTGTCTTTAATTAAAGATAATCTCTGTGATTTAAAATATTTCCGAGTCGCATCAAATTATCGATTTATCGATTTGATTTTATCTGTATTATGCATTTCATCAAGTGCACTTAAATGCATAACGGTGCTGTTCGACACGACAAGCGCGTTTTTCTCATTGCAATTTACTATACCATATTAATCGTTAGAGATTGCGGTGATAAAAGTGCTAATATATCCCGCTAATATATCCCGCTGCCACACACGCAATTAAAAAAATAATATATTTGACATACCAGTCAAATAACGAGTAAAATAACTTTCGACGGAGTTTTTCATTAGAAATGCAATTTATTAAAAAATATAGCTGCAAGAAGTGCTTTGTTCTTATCAAATTCCAATTGTTTTTTACACAATTATTTCAGCTTTTCTTTCGTCATTTAAGATACAACATAATATTGTTTGTAAATATAATTTAGCTTAATATTATTAAATATAATATATTTATATTTCTTCTCTATACATTTTCGTAAGAAATCATCGGATGACACTTACTAGAATTGGACAGCATAAGGATTATAACGGCTTCAAACCTCGCCGAGTGAATTTGTAACATAATCTCAATTAATGTCGGTTAATTATATGTTTGTTGTAGTAAAATGTTTGTTTGATTTAATTCAAGGCAAAAATATTGCCCCATTGTTATCATAATAATCTATATTTTGGATTCCGAATCAGTTTGCATTAGATTTTCTTGCAGGAATCAATTAACACAAAAGGCATTTGCTTATGAATGATTCAAGAGAATTTATGCGAGATCATATAGATCGTTATAGATCATTATTTAAAACGTATCTAACCATATGTTCATACATTCTAGGTTTATAATTCCTGCGTATCGTTATATGCAAAGACGTGCAATAGATCTCACTTAATTTGAATTAATCCAATGAATCTAGTGGTTTACCTGCATTTCTGGAATTTAAAGATGATCTTCAACTGAACATTTGTACTCAAATAGCCACTAGATCTAATTATTCTGAATTTTTGCTGATGCCTGTTTTAATGAGACGTGAAATAGTTTGACTATAAATTGATTACAAATATTACATTGCTATTATTATTATTTTATTTTTATTATTTTATTTTATTATTATTATTTATGAATTTTAATTGTAATATATGTCTATATATGCATATGTATATAATACACATGTTTGAATTATATCAGTATTTGGTATAAAATTTTTTAAATTAGGATGAATTGATAAAAAGAACTAATGGTAAAATTACAATGAAATAATTATATTTTTTTATCTTACAATGTGTTTAGCTTATCATATGTTATCCTATTATACATTAATTCTTATAATGTAATTGAATTTATTATCATAATAATGATTCCCTTTATTGAAAGTTATCTCATTTCGATAAATTAATCATACGTTTTTAATAAAAAAATACGTTTCCTTATTGGAGATTTATTATTTCCTCCACAAAATTCGATTGCATTTTCCTTAAGTTTGCATAATATAGAAAATGATAATAATATGATTATAATATGATTAAAATATGATTATAATATGAATATAATATGATTATATGCTAGCTACAGAAACAAAATTATTTAAAAATTACTATTTATAGTCTATTATTATTTCTCATAATTTTAAGACTATGTCCAAGGCTTTTCTTTTGCTAAATCATTGTTTGATGTTGACATCCTAATATCTATATTTGGATAATTTGGATCTTTAGTATCTGTATGTATAATAACTGTGTCATTCCAAATTTCAATAAATGTTACATTTTTCCTATCTAAAGTGGTATGCAACGCAATATTAGTATTATTAAGATAAATATTTATTGTGAGCGGACCTGGAACACATCGTATAGGCTTTGGTACCCATTGACCATTCTCATTACATTTCACCAAATTGTTTCGTATTGAAAGTGTACTGCTTTCATATTGATAACTGTCTCGGCAGGACAATTTGGCACTTGTTCCAGGTAAAACTGGAGAGTCACAAGACACCCACTCATTGTTGTATGTACATTCGGCATTAATTGATGCTGTACTTAAAGTTTCACAGCGTATTTCTTTGAAAAAATATTTTAAACATGAAATTAATACATAATTGCACATGAAAAATACCTGTTATATTAAATTATAATATTTCAACATTATGACCATCATATTTCTAAACATTTTTTTTATTCTACATATTTTCTTATATTTTACAAGTATGTGTGTAATTATTATTATCATACCTTTACAACTTGGTATATTAAGCCATTTTCCTTCAATACTGCAGCTTACATCCTTAGAACCTTTTATCTCATATCCCGAATTGCAGGAGTAAATTAAATGAGAGCCTGGTCCTAAGTTCATTCCTTCCGAAATATCACAGTCCTGTTCAGAGTTTGAACATTGCGATCGATGCAACTTCCAATGACCGTTTTGCGGTTGCGGTGGGGCTTTGCAAGTTTTTGTGCCAGATATTGGAACAAAAGGACTTGATGAAGGTTGTACTGGTAATCGTTCTGCTGTTGGTCGCACCGTTGATCGTAAAAACCACGATCCTCTGCCACATGATTTTGGAGTTTCATCTGATCCATCGACGCAATCAACTTCTCCGTTACATCGTAGATCACCGTCGATACAAGCTCCATAATCGCATTGGAAAACTGTCGGTGGACAACTGCAAAGAAATTGTCGATTGTAAAATATCTGTTTGCTTATTATTTGACCTAGAATTAGCAAAAAAAAAAAAGAAAAATTCTCTTACATCAATGACCCGCATAGTGCTGATGTTTCGTCGGAACCATCCACGCAGTTTTTATTTCCATCGCACAGATTAGTCTTACTGATGCATTGTCCATCAGTGCATGTAAATTTATTATATTGGCATAGAGGTCTTGCTGATGTTTGATTATTTCTCGTGCACCCAGGTTGCGTTTCATCGCTATTGTCGACGCAGTCTTGGATGCCATTGCAAACGTTGTCCCTATTTATACACGCACCGTATTTACAACGAAAAGCATATGCAGGACATAAAATCTCCGGTTTCGTACATTCGACCTGTGTCTCGTCGGACGAATCCCTACAGTTCACTTTACCATCGCATAAGAATTCGCCAGCTATACACTCTCCATTGCGACATTGAAAATTCCTGTACCTATTTGAACAGTAGAATAAAAATATTTATTTATTTGAATATAGATATTATGTATATATCAAAGTAATTTTTATATTATATAATCATGAACTCACCCGCAATTATTAGTTTGTGCATAGCCGGAACCAATATACACTATGGAAAATCCAAGAAACAATTTTATTAGATAATGAGAATTTTTCTTTATTATATACATTATATACATGCGTTTACTACATGCGTTGTTTAATTATACGTGTGTGTATATATAAATGAAAATTGCAGTTTATACAATTTATAAATATCATTAGAATTTTTCTAGTATAATATGCAAAATTTTGTTTCATGATCATATATCTTTATATGGCAAAATCAATTAGTTACAATAATGTCAATTTCTATCTTTAAAAGAAAAATTTTTTTTTATAAACGTGACAGATATGCGCATAATAGAGATAACACACATCATGTATTCGCGAGTATTTTCTTCGTTTATTATCTACCAATATATATAAACATATAAATTTCTCTACTGGAGGGTCAAGGATCAAACTGGTTTTTAAAGCTGACTGAGATTACGACGACGTTTTACAAATCTTCTAAATTAAAATGTTGTAGATACTTAATTATTATAAAACAAAGTTTACCACATATATGCATAAAGTTCGTCCCAATAAATGCAAAATAAATAAAAAGAAATGGAAATAAAATTTTTTTTTATTAATTGTCTCTTCACAAGAAACTATTCAATCAATCAGTTATATACATGCAATATACAGTCTGTTTGACAAGAGTGTGTATGGCAAAATCCGAAAACTATTTGCGATAGGGCATTGAAAAAAAATATACATACTACATAATATAAATCGCGACGTTTTATTATTAATAAGTTGTCCAGTCACCTCCACTATTAATAATTGTCTGGCATCTCCGAGGCATACTTTCTACTAATTTTATAACATAATCTGGGGACAAAGACCTCCATATGAGTCAAATCTGTCGAAATAACTGCTTGACGTTCCAGATCTGTTTCTCTCGAAGCTTGAATTTCATGAGTGCCCAAACATTTTCTATGGGATTTGAATCTAACGATTGTGCCGGCCAATCCAGTACAACAATGTCATTCTCTTGTTTTCACGCAGTACAAAGACGACTCCGATATTTTGGGTCATTGTCCTCTTACAGTAGCCAATTTTCATTTTTCTTCATAAACCACCTTTGGGCAGACGGTAATAAAGCTTTCTGATATATTTTGACCATTTTGGTAGTGTTTAAATTGTGAAAATATGTAAAGTTCCAAATCCCTGTTTTGAAAAACAGCCCTAGACGTGCACTTTTACCGGGTGTTTAACAGTCCGCTGGATAAGTCTATTAGTGTAGGTAAACCAGGTATGACTAATAGAAGAACGTGCTCAAAAAGAAGCTTCGTCTGAAAAAATTACATTGTCCCAATCGCGGTCCAAATTTTCTTTTGCCCAAGCGAGTCTTTTTTCGACGTGTT